ACCCAAATGATCCCTAAACCCTCCACTGTGAATCCCAAAAAAGCCCAAAAGATCCCCAAACCCTCCACTGTGAGCCCAAAAGGTCTAGCCCCTAAACCAACCACAAAAACAGAGGAAAACAGTAGACAGCGTGGTCATGTGTGCACAAAGCACAGCACGACCCCCATGTGTGCACAAAGCACAGCACGTAATTCCCACCCCCCCCAACCCCTGAGCGTGGTCATGTGTGCACAAAGCACAGCACCCCCCCCACCCCACCCCCCCCACCCCCCCCCACCCCCCCCCACCACCCCCCCCCACCCCCCCCCGCCCACCCCCCCACCCACCCCCCCCCCCCCCCCCCCCCCCCCCCCCACCCCCCCCCCCCCACCCCCCCCCCACCCCCCCCCCACCCCCCCCCCCCCAACCCGTCAAACGGAGGAAAAACAGGAGAAAACGATAGAAAAAGTAAAAAAGCAGCAGAAAACACCATGATCAGTTAAGAGCGTGTCACCTACTACTACTACTACTACTACTACTACTACTACTACTACTACTACTACTACTACTACTACTACTACTACTACTCCTGCTACTGCTGCTACTGCTGCTACTGCTGCTACTGCTACTACTACTACTACTACAACTACTACTACTACTACTACTACTACTACTACTACTACTACTACTACTACTACGAGTACTAGTACTAGTACTACTAGTACGACGACGACGACTACTACTACTACTTCTACTACTACTACTACTACTACTACTACTACTACTACTACTACTACTGCTGTACTGCTACTACTACTACTACTCCTACTACTACTACTACTACTACTTCTTCTACTTCTACTTCTACTTCTACTTCTACTTCTACTTCTACTTCTACTTCTACTTCTACTTCTACTTCTACTTCTACTTCTACTCCTACTCCTACTACTGCTACTGCTGCTGCTGCTACTGCTACTGCTACTGCTGCTGCTACTACTACTACTACTACTACGACGACGACGACGACGACGACGACGACTACTACTACTACTACTACTACTACTACTACTACTACTACTACTACTGCTACTGCTACTGCTACTGCTACTGCTACTGCTATTGCTACTGCTACTGCTACTGCTGCTGCTGCTACTGCTACTGCTACTGTTGCTACTGCTACTGCTACTGCTGCTGCTGCTGCTACTGCTACTGCCACTGCTACTGCTACCACTACTGCTGCTGCTACTGCTACCGCTACTGCTGCTACTGCTACTGCTGCTGCTACTGCTACTGCTACTGCTGCTACTGCCAGCTGACCTTGCGTGCCGGGCCCATGTTTGCACAAGGTGCGCCAATCTGTCCTGGACGCAAGAAGTGAGCGGTTCAAGCTTGAAAAGCTGCGGGGAATCAAACCATATTCCCAACACACCTGAAGATGATAATGCATCACGAAAAGAAGCGTGCACCCTGCTTTGTTGTCATTGCAGGTTCTGCGAAATATTATCTTGTTCTCTCGCTCCCTCAGTCTATCACTCTCCCCTTCAGGGAGATCGATTGCTCCTAGATGCCGCTGCAATATGAAACCAATCCAAGTCGATGTTCAGTATGAGCTGCGCTCTTGGCAGATGCGTGCCCATCTTAAATGGTAGCTGAGTTGTACACGGTAGGTTGCCGATGCCGTGCGCCCCCGCTGCAAACTGCTATGCGTCAAAGTATGCATCAGGTTACGCTGGCATTCCATGCACAGGTCGCAGGTTTCACATGCAGTCGTAGTGAAACGGCAGTTGGATTATGTCTTGACTCCAAGAACGTCTGTCTGGGATGCGAAAGTGAAAGCGGGACCTGAGCTGAAGGATACGGTTTCGCGAGGTTCAATCTGTCTGACAAGTACGCCTCCGTTCTTGTAGACCTCCCTCAACATCTTGGACTGCAGCAGTAGTATACTCGATGAATTGTCAAGCTGCAAGGGCATATTCGAGGTCACGAGTCTAGATGCCATGGCAAGTATTAACGACATCACATGGTCTATATGACTATCAGAACAAATCTCAGGGCGGCAGCTACCAACATGGCGAGAGAAATCGGTCACAGAAGTACAGATGAGATTGCCGCAACAAGCGCAAAGTACCCAAAATCCACAGTTTTCGAGAAACTGGTTAGATCGGCGCTCCCATATTGCTTACAAGGAAAGCTGGGAGGTGGACACGACAAAGGCGGCCACGATGTTGATACCACACAATCTGGTGGGGTTCTGTAGTTCTTGCAACGCCTGACACAGCACGTGGCACCGTCTTAAGGTAGAACTTCTGCATCTCGTGCTTCACATTGCATGTGCTTTGCCGAACTTGTCTGCAGCATTGTAAGGCCGGCAGTTGAGAGATGCGCCCATTCTTTTGTCCAACGAAACCTTCATGTGCAGCATCTGCAGTCAGCTAACGTTTCCTGCAATGGCCATGTAGCAAAGTGTCCGTACAAAGTGTTGATTAAATAGTGATCTCCACGCCTAAGCTTTCGATTTTCTTTCTCCATGTTGTTCGCATCATGCATGGCCTGCAAGCATTCCGTGTGTGCAGCCCAGTGCACGGCACGGGTGCCTGTAGCGAATGACAGAGATCTGCAGAGGACTGTGTGAGGACTGAAGTCACGGTTAAACAACAAGTTGGTTCAACCATCAAGACCTGTTCAAAGATGAAGAGGCGTCCTTGTCCTTCAGGCCAAGCTGCAACTCCAGCTGCTCCCAGGGTCAGGCTTGGCCTGCTTGGGGATCATCCGCGCCCTCCGCCGAGGCAAGGAGAGCGAAAGCGGCTTCAACAGTGCGGGGCTGTCTGTCGTCCTTGTCAGGCTAGGGCAGCATCCTTCTCCTCTGAGTCCTCCGACGATGAGAGGCCTATGGGCCTATGAGGTGACTTCTGCCCTTGGCACTCCACTTGTAGCAATGCCGCAGGAAATCGAAGAAGGAGCGCTTGCGCGAGTTGGTGCTCGGGTTGCAACATCCTCCCTCCGACTCGCCCATGCTGCCGCTCAGTCCGTTCTGCTGAGGTGCACAAATTCACTGCCGAAGCCCTCAAGGGGGTGGATTGTACCCTGAGCACACTTCCAGTTTCTGTTGGGTGTCATCTATTCGTGCCGCGTTTTGTTCGGGAGTGTTCACACGTAGCATCATCTCACAGACTTTGTGCCCTCGCCTTTCCTGTCAGCCAGAGATGGCAGGTACTGTAGTCGAACGGAAGACGCTCGGCAGGGTAGAGGCACGGAACGTGTCTGGAGTGCAGGGGGTAGATGTTGTGAACATGTGAGAACACCATGTGGAAGCAGTGAAAACAGTGAAAGCAGTGAATGCGGCGTGCAACGTGAGGCCGTTTACAAGTTGGACCCTGCTGTCAGCTGGTTGAAGTTCAGCAGTCGCTCGAGTGGAACCGCACTCGGTGCTGCCGATGGCCAAGATTCAAGCTGTTGACGCTGTTGACATTGTCATGTGAGAGCTGAAGACTTGTTGGAAGGTGCAGCTTCCCTGGATCTCGCGGTTGACGTGTGTACAGCACTTGCCTTTGTACGAGCAAGAGGAGCCCATCGGAGTGGGGCAGTTTCTGTGTGCAGTTCGTTTCTGCGTGTGACCGTTTGGAGAGGACCTCCTCGGGAAGTCAAACTCTGACCTTGGCCGCAGTATACTCGTGAGCTCTGGAGGCCCCTTTGGCCTGCACAAAAGCGAAAGGGTCTTCGTATGCTTTTCTGTCATGCAAGGCAGTCACGCCGATGCTGGTCGTGTCCCACAATCCGTCACGCTGGTGATGAAGGCTACGGCCCTGCTATTGTAGTGCACGGCTTCTCGGGCCCTTCTTTTCTCGCCGGGATGAAGTTTCAGTTGCGAGCACGACCCCGGCAAGGATGCCAAAGAAACGGAGCGCTTTCTCACCTGCGCCTCTGGGCGGCAACCAGCTATGTAAGACCCCGCGGATGATCGATTATCTGCCTCAGCACGCTGAATCGACAATGATTGGCACTTGAGTCTGAGCCGCGAGGTAGAAGTTCTGCGGCTGTACGCTGCGATGGATGCACCGATGTGAGGAGGTACTGTGCATGGCTGAAAAAAAACCCCTCGTGCCCTGGTACTAGCTTTTTGCCATCGGCTTGGGATACCTTCTGTCGGAGCGCCCCGAAGAGAAGGCCCACGTGTCCCGCAGGTGTTTTGGCTCACAGTAGTCACAATACTAATTTTTACACCTCCCAGTGCGCACCTGAGTGGTGCAGCTCAAGCGTGCTTCCGACAGCAGATGTTGCACCTAAGGTCAGAGAGCTTTGATTGGAGGTTGCATAGTTATGGCCCTGACCTAAGAATCCTCCCTTCGGCACCAAGTTCGCTTGGACTCAATGAATCCTTCCCTTTGATGCGGTAACGTGAGCTTGCCGGTTCTGAGAGCAGCTCAGGCGCAAAGTGCCTACACATATACAAACGCTGCCGGGAGCTCTGGAGCTGTGCCACGTGAGGGGACCTTGCCTTGGGATGCCTTGGGATGTTAGGTGCCACAGCAGATACAGATGCAGCAGCCAAGGGTCCGGCCCCAGGTCGTGCCGCAGTGCTCTGCGCTTTACAGACTCCACACTGCCTTCTTAGTTTCTGGGATCCATGTTTCTGGGATCCATGTGCCAAGGTGGTCTATCAGGCCCCTGCTCAACAAGTGTGCTCAAGCCTCGTTCAGCCCCCAAAGCAACATCACATTCAGGCGCCTGCCGCGCCTGCCGCGCCTGGCGCGCCTGGCGCGCCTGGAGCGCCTGCCACCTTCAGGGCCGGACAGCCCATTGCCAGACAGGTGCTCCCACTCGTTTAACTAGGTCATCAGGAATCAAAATGCCTTCCCTACCTGCAGGTTATTCCTGCAGCTGCAAATCTTCGACCAGTGGCAGCGGCGCCCCTACACACTTCTGTGTCTTGTGGTGTTGACATCCTTTCAGCCTCAGCCGGACCTGTTCTTGAGGCAACAGTCCAGGCACCAGTCCGAGCTCCAGTTCAAGCACCGGTACCCATGCGCCCCATGGTGTACAGCGGTGGCCCAGTGACGGCCAGTTCCAGCCCCAGCTCGCGCACCTTTGTGCACCAAGCAAAGTGCTGATACCATGCAGTCTCACGCTGCATCTGCGTGATAGGTTTCAAATGGTTGCTGCATTTCAGGGTCGGGACAATCAAGAAGAAAAGGCCTGCGGCTTTTCCTTTACGCCCAGGCACGCCGCAGAATTTGATCAGCACGTCCTTGGCTTACCCTTCTGTCCATGTCACAGCGCACTAGCAGTTCACACTGCTGGCGCACGTCTTGCGGTCGAGCCGAGAGTCACAGAGTGCCAGGCTGCCAGCAGGTGCCCGAATCGTCCGACCAGCTGAGGGCGTCCAAAACGCCCAGCCTCGGGCCGGGGCCCAGGGTGACAAATTCAAAAGATCTGAGGGGCTCACCAGAGAGTTGAACAGTTGAGACGATGTCATGTTCGGCCAGGTGGTGGCGCAGAGGCCGAACACCATCGGAGGTCCAGCCTACTCACAGGGTGCCTACGAGGCCTGATCGCTCTGATCATGGCAGGTGAAGTTGTGCATGGTTGTGCGAAGCCATGATCCTCCTCTTATCGGATGCAGGTCAAGCATGAGAAAGACGCTCAACTGCAGAACCTGAAGGCCGGTTAGACCAGTGCCCCTTGAATTGACAAAGGACTGTCCCACACCTTTCTGATCAGGAGCTGCGCAAGACCAGCGGGTTGAAGCAGATTCCAGTGGACGAAGGCCCAAGCAGCTCATACGACCATGGTCGTTGAAGCGTCTGTTGCTGGAGCTGTTGCTGCAGTTTTGATTGTGGGCATGGGGGTAGCGGGCGAGAAAAGTTAGACAGGTTTGAAGACCTTCAAGAAGGCAGCTGTGGAGAGCCGTCTCACGCGTGAACAGCCGACCCGGCCAGTCCACCCGCTGATGGTACTACTTGTAGCGCTTTGTTGGGTGACGAGGCCTGAATGTTGTACGGTGCCAGGTTTCTCCAGGCCTATTCAGAACTGCTGGAGGCACACATTGGCCATCATTGGCCATCACATGCGCACTAGTCACTGAGTGCTGCGCTGAGACAGGCCAAAAGCATCGAAATGCCCAGCAATGACGTGCCTGAGCAAGCAGTCAGGAGCAAATTCTATTGGATCGGAATGGTGGGAGAATGTGCATGCTGCAAGTTTGCGTGCGAGGTGAAAAATGCAGTTTTTGATCTCTTTGACCGCGATGACAACAACATTGCCCAGATCTCATGGCCCAACGAAACGCTGCTGTGCGCATGGGCAGTGCCCACATGCCTAGTTCACGGTTTTTGAGAGTCCAAGAGCCCAGGTGGATATGATGGAATTAATTTGCGGCATATCCTTACTCTGCCACGGATCTGAGGCCTGAGCAGTTTTGGGGTATCTACTTAAGAAGTACGTGCGAGTCGACACCTCTTTCGTCAGTGGAGGAGGACAAGATTCATGCCGTTTTCGGCATCTTTGATGAGAATGGCGACGGCTACATCTCCATGGACGAGATGTACAAGTTTCTGACATCTGTTTTCAAGGCAAGGAGTTTCACTGTGCTGGGCGAGTGGGCGTCGAAGTGGTGTTCTGCTAGCTGACAGCAGGTGGTTCTGACGCCAGTGGTCGTTGGCGCCATGAACAGCATGGGAGTAACAGTTGAGTCGGCTGAGGACTGAAATGGACAGATGCTAAGGCAGCTAAGAAGTGTCGAACCTTGGCCGTCTCACGTCACGGTCGCACTAGCAGTTTGAGACTTTGAGACAGCGCGCAGGATCTCGCTTCCGTGACATCGCTAGAATGTTTCAAGACGGCTGACCTCAACCAAGACGGTAGGCTGTCAGCTCCCGCCCCAGCCATGACACTCGCTTACACTCGTTCTCGTGCGCTCGGGAGCAACATGGTCCTCTGTGTTGCAATGCCAGGTCAATGAGTTCAAGACCTGGTTCTATGCACCCAGGCGGGCTGGCACTCCATGTCACAAGAGCTGCCAACACTAACTTCCCACAGTCACATGCATCACCAGTTTGGCACACCAGGGCCACAACAAAGTCGGCCATTGTAGCGTGCCGAGAATGGCAGGAATGATCCTACGTTCATGTTCTCGCCGGTCCGCAAACTGCTTCAGTGACCGGCCCTCTCACCTGCCACTCATCCTCCTGCTGCCGCCGTGGTGAAACTGTGGCAAGACTGGACGTGGGAGAGCTGAGTCCTCAACTTGACGCAATGAATACAAAACGTGCCGGATGCGGGGCTTCATTGGAAAGCTTGAAAGCAACACCAGGTCACTAGGCCCAGTCACTAGGCTCGCAAGGATTGACTTGAATGGTTGGGGCAATTACCTGTGGCCTCCAGTGTTTTGTGTTGGGTTCAAGTTAGCAGAAAGGCGTTCTACAAGAGCCTGCTGGGGACGGATGTGCACAAGCTGTGGGGCAACAGAGCGCAGCTGCGTGCGGCATTGTGTGGCTCAAGCAGATGCAAACAAAGACGCAAGCTGCGCAAGTCTCTTCACAGGTCCATCCACCACAGGCTGCAACGCTACTGTGTCAAGACTGCTCAGAAGCTATGGGGGTGCTGGGCTACTAGGTATCTCTGGGACTGCAATGGGACGGCCGGGGCCCAAGGTACCACGGCTTACATTTTTGTACCAGTCCGAAAAACACCACGACTCCAAAACCTCCAAAACACCCAAGGTCGCGGGGAGCGCAAGGAGCCTAACAGGCCAATACAGCCAGGTTCCACATGAGCCAAGCAGGCAGGGTTCTGTGAACAAGAGCGTGCATCACATCACTCAAGATGTCAGGGTTTTTGCGATGGAACAGGCGAAGGACAGGCGAGTCCGACATTTGCAGCGGATTCCAGACCTTCCTTACCTTCCTTGGCTAGTGTTCTTGGCCTGCCCGGCTGAGCTTCTCATTCCATGGCGCCGCGTGCCTACCGGTTTGGGCTGTAGCCGAGGTGCTCACCTTAAGGTTGAAGGGGTGGTATCGTCAGCTCTCGGATCTCAATTTCTCACACGAAGCTGTGCGCTTCCTTTGAGAATTCCAGGGGTCAGACGCCAGGCTCCGATGCGATTCGGCAACTTGGGGATGCTGTGAAGTTGGAGAAAGGCCCCGCACTTCCTTGATCACAAGGAGATGTAGCTTCGCATGGTCGAGAGGTTTGGAAGTTCAGCCGCGGCGTATCTGTGCAGGTGACCTTGCCTGGTCCGAGGAGGCAAAGGCTGAGGTGTTCAGCCAGGTGCTTCTCCCCCCCGCCCCCCTTCCCTCTCTCTTGCACTCACTCTCTCCCTCTCTCTCCTCTCTCTCCTCCCTCTCTCGCTCTCTCTCTCTCTCTCTTTTCTCCAGACCTTCTGACATTGAAGGACCGGAGACAGGACACGTACCCAGCATCCTGAACTGAATATGGCTTTCGGCACGACAGGTCCGCCAAGTGGTGGAGGCGCTGCAGGAGAACGTAGTAGAAAAGCTTGTGCACTACCGCCTCGTACCGGCTCCCTCATCCCTCACATCCCATCAGACCCCATCACATCCCTGAAGACACCGTGTCCACACCACTGTTGGCTCATGGAGCTCATGTGTGAAGAAGTCGAATGCCAGCGAAGCAGGAGGAACTGAGGGAGAGCGAGCCACTCTTGGCGGAGCTCCAGGCGACACTTCGTGCTGTGCTTTTTCCAAGGCACTTTCTTCGGAAGTTTGTTTCTGAGTGCTTTGGTAGTCGTGGCAGTTCTGGTCGCGCAGGAGAAAGCTGACAGCTTGGAGGTGCCACCTTGGCTGGGGTGGATTCTGGGGTGGGGTGGCAGAGAGAGGGGACGTGCGAAGCAGGAGAAGCGCACATTCCTGACGCGCAAAGTTCGTCGCGCGGAGCGGGATCGTGATTTGGCATCGATCCCTGGCAGTCTGGATGCTTCAGCATGGTCTCGCAGTGAGCAACCTGCATACCCGTTCGGTTTGAGGCCGTGCAACGCAGTGCTGAGGTGGAGGTGCGGCCAAGTTTTGGTTGTGGCCATCACAGGGTGTCGCAGTGCAACCGTAGTGTAATTTGTGGTCAGAAGGGGGGGTGGAACAGGGCGGGAGTGATGTGGTGAGCTCGAAGAGGCGGCAGTGAGGCAGCTGCGCGAGGAGGCTGCGCCGGCCATCGCGCGCTTCATGGAGTCGGAGGTCCTGCGCAGCCAGCTCCAGGCTCCTCAACTTTTTGCTCTTCTCGCAGTGAGGTGAAGCTGTCCAAATCCGGGTGTCTGAATCCCTCTGAATCTCTCTGTTTCACCCTGAATTTCTCTGAATCTCTCTGAGTTTTTGTCGGTTTCTCCCAGTTTCTCCTGAGGCTTGCAGCGAGGATCTCGTGCGGCTCAAGGAAGAGATGGCCGCCTGCAAGGAGGAGCTGGCGGAAGGCAGACATGAGGACTAAGCCACGGGGCTTCGCCCCCCCCCCCCCCCAAGTTTTGTTCTGATAGACTGCCCTGTATCAGACCACTTCGAGGTCTCAGAGTCTCAGAGTGTCAGGGTTCAGGGTTTAGCGTTCAGGGTTTAGCCAAGAGAGCTCAATTTTGCAGCGCGCTGGACCGGAGGCTTGCCTAAGCTGGCAGAGTTGGAGGATGACGAGGCCAGGAAGTCGCGAAGTGTACACCATAAGGCAAAGTTACGACTCATCCACCAGAAACGCCCCTTGATGTGATCACATCATCTCCAGCCCTGAAGCCCCAGGCGGAGTGTGCTGGAGCCTTGGCACAGCTCGAGGCGCAGCACACGGAAGAGGCAAAGATGGACAGTTCAATGGCGCATCGAATGCAAGACTTCGCCGGAGATCTGGTTTAGATGAGTACTGTACCTGGTGAGTGAAAAGGAAAGGGGGTGGGGAGGCGAGCTGGGCTTGTAGGAGGGGGGAAGGACGGGCGGAGCCGGAAGTGCTGCAAGACTCAATAGACGCCATAGAATTCAGAACAGGCCAACTATTTGCAAGCAGGGCTTGTGGCAATGGCATGAGACATGCTGATAAGTGCAAGATCGGACAATGCCATCCAAAACGTCGGGCAGAGCGGCTTGGCAGGTGTCCTTGCTGACTTCCTTGCACAAGGAGGATCTTCATGCATGCTTGGAAGTTGAATTTGAACCGGGAGTCCTACAGATGCCTTGCTTGAGAGCCATTTTTCCAGCGCCGGCATTTGCAGATACACCAGTAGATGTCTCCACGAAATCGCCAGGCAGGCTCAACGCCCTAGGTCCTCCCGTCCTGGAGGCCGTAGCCCCAATTAAGAATACGTAAAAAGGAAGAAATCGCCATGTTGGCCATGCCCATCATCCGCCAGCATGCCGCCGCGCTCCCGCGAGCGATCCCGCTCACCCCAGCGAGGCTCGTGGCGTGATGATACTTTGGCATTCTTGTACTTGTACCTTGCGCTGCTCAAGGAATTGGGAGCACGGTGCATGCCCGGACGCCTTTGGAAAGGAGAGCTGCTCTCGAAATGCCAGCAGATCCTTGCAGACTTCAGTTGCCCTGCTCACTCTCAGCACACTGCAGCCGAGTGCAGCCGAGTGCAATGGCGAGGCCGCGAGTTGCCTTCGTCAGCCTGGCGACGGAAGACTACAGCCAGGGGGCACTAGTGACGTCTGCGGCTGTTCTGCAGCGAGCGGACTGTGTGACACGCTTTCTCTCAGAAGATGTCGTAATATTTCGTACGTGGCATTGCCGATGCAGCTTGTCCAGCTGTCCAGCAGGCGACCCTGCGCGCCCGACTGCCGGCAGACGTCGACGTGGTAGTCTTTAGCGATGTAGAACTGACGGTTGTGCCAGGCGGGGCTACAGTTTTGTCGATATCGATCCAGCATACTCGCCTGCCAGGTGTCGTTGTGCGTGAGTTGCAAGACCTACCGACAGTATCTCCACCGCAGCAAGCAGGCGAACCGCTGATGCCAGATGCCTGGGTTGTCGCAGTCGCTGCGTGTCGGTTAAGCATCGAGACCTGTGAGCCTGCTGAAAGTCTAGCTGTGAGCAGCTGCTTGCGGAGAAAACTCGCAGCAGGCTTAGACACGCCTGCCAGTATTGCCGTGAGGCCGCACTTCCGCTTCTGCTGGCGAAAGCTTGGGCTCTGGGCTTTGGAGGTGTGCCATAACTAGCAGCCCTACTCAGCCTCCTGAGACAGCCAAAGACAGTGGTCACGCTTCAACAGCTCCAGCATCAACAAACAGAACTGTTGCATGTCAGCAGTCAGCATGACCTTCCCCCGGACGGCATGCGTGTATAGCTACTGGGAGGAGTATGACGTCGTTGTCTATTTGGACTCGGACATGCTGGTAGGCTGTGAGCTGCGGCCGTGCTGAGAAGGCCGCAATTCGGATTGGATCTGGACATGCTTGCAGTTGGTGACATCAGCTACCTGTTGGACTGTCTTCCCCAAGAAGGTCAGCCGATGCCTCACTGCACAAGACGAGGGCAAGAAGACTTAACTCCATTTTGTTACACATCTCCAGTGTCACTCAGGTTGGCTGCTGTGCCCTCGTGTGAGTGCTGGCGGTCGGAATCGTGCAATTACACAGCCGGACCAAGAGATGGTCCCACGCCGGCACTTGGCCCCTTCGGTTTTTCCTTTGTTTTACAGGCCTGCTTTCCCCGTTGCTGTATGTGGTAATGTGCAGAAGGCCTCTACATCAACGCGGGGCTGCTCAGCTTTCGGCCCAGTCTGCTGGAGCTTGGCAAGATGAGAGAGGCGCTGGAGAATTGGTGGCCCTGCTGGAACAAGCCTCAAAAAGAACGAACCGCCCCATATCATTGCGACACACCCATCATCCCCTGTAAGGCCTAATATGGTCATAGCTGTCCTTCTCTTGAGCTGACTGAAAGTAAAAGTGCCGGACCTCTCAGGCAAGAGGCAAAGTCGGGTGCCCTCCAACTCGCCGTAGATCACCTGATGTGCCTTGGACACATTCTTCTTCTTTGCAGTGCAGGTTGGGGTGGGACTTGCGATATTTTTTCTGGGGACATGCTTGAGCACCTGCTTGGTTGAGGCCTTTTGCCGAGCAGGACTTCCTGAACAGCTACTTCCATGGGCGCATCCTTCCCCTGCCTTCGATTTTCAATGTGCCTTGGCACACTTGGGCTTTCCAACTCCTCCGCCCAAAAACCTCCGAAGACGTCGTCTCCGGGTCGCAAGCACCTTGGAACCTTGGGAGGCTTTGCAGCATGCCATGAAGAACCCGAAGCACCGGGCAGACCTTGGGCTTGACAAGTGCGCCATCCTGCACTACGTCATGGGCAAGCCGCGGCCTCGGCGCTCATATGGCCACTCGGGGCCACTCAAGGGGCCTGTATATATACATATACACACACCATAACCCAGTACGATGCATCATGAAGTATGAAGTATTATACTGCATTCACATACATACATACCTACATACATACCTACATACATACTGTAAGACATGTGTCACGACGGCAGCCATCACCAGTGCCCAGAGGAAAATGTTTGCAAAGGCCTTGGGACCGCGCCACGAAGCTGGAGGAGGATGTTGCAGACCTGCGTGCGCTCTGGTGGCGGGCATGGAAGGACCGCCTGGTCTAAACCCTAAACCCTAAACCCTAAACCCAAAACCCTAAACCCTAAACCCTAAACCCTAAACCCGAAACCCGAGTCACACATCTCTGCATCTTTCAAACACTTGGATTCAGGAAGGCGCTTCCAAGGCTTGCCTTCACCCATCATGGGCCAGGCATCAGGTACATGACGCCCTACCCGTGTTTCTGGTGAAGGATTTCATAAAATCTGAGGCGGAGGCCTTTGCTGGGCGAGGTCTTTTCGTTGGTCCCATGAACCACCCATGAGCCGCCATCTTTCAGGCGCTCCTGATTTCCACCCTCTATGGGGACGGGTTACAGGCACGGAAGTGGGACGGGCACTGCGAGAGGATGCAAGAATCAAGCGAGCATGGTGTCAAGTGCAGGGAAGATGGACACAGCTGGGACGGCGCAGGCTCTTGTGCCTTGGAGGCCGGCCGCCCTTGGTTACAGGGTTCCTGAACATGTCTCGGGCACTACCAGGGGTGCCAGGTGTACCTCATCCAGATGGTGCGATCTGTGAAGACCTTCCAGAAGCAATCTGTGAACTTGGAGCGAGCCTTGCTCGGGTCGGTGCCACCGAAGGCGCGGGACTTCGCAGGAATCTCACACGCGTGCTTTGATTTAACCGGTTTAGAGAAGTGTCATGAGCTCCTTCACGGCCATGGTGCGTAAGTTGACGTATCACCTAAGTTCACTTCAGCGTCCCTTCCTTTGTGCATTGGCCTGTCTTCCATCCTCCACCGGAGCTGTGTGTGTGTGTGGAACTCTCACTGCATGGTCCTCTCGTAGTGCCAAAGGGTTTGCAGCTGTTTCAGGCAATCTCAGGTTTTTTGTTTCTCAATCTGTTGTTCCTTCTCGCGCCGGCACAAATCGCCCTGAACACAATTGCCTAGTGTGTGTGTGTGTGGTTGGAGGTGATGACTGAATGCAAACCTTTCACGACCAGCAGTTATAGTAGAACTAGGGCATTGCATTGTCCAGGAGCACCGAACCAATGCTTCGTCAACAGCTACTCTCCTGGTGAGGGCATCGATGCCCATTGCAGCGTGGCTGGATGAAGAAGATGAAGAAGATGAAGAATGGGTTTCATATTGGTTGAGTAACTGTTGAGTTGAGCTGTGCAGGCTCTGGCAAGTCTGTTGTGTGTGTTTCAGCAGGCGATGGGCCACAGTTTCAGCCGGAGGTGGCGATCCTCACCCTAGAAGGCCCTGCGCTGCTTCATTTTGGTCTGGTGGAGAAGAAGGCACCTGTTGCCAGACGGTGCAGGGCAGAGCGTGTATGGAAACCTACTTTCTTCAAATGACATCTCGAAAGGCCTATCCTGAGCTTCCACCTCGGTTCGAGGCAGAGCAACTGCAAGCAACAGTCCTTGCTGCCTCAAGCTTGCGCAGAGGTGCTTCTGGAACCTCGATCGCTGCTGGTGATGAGGGCCGAGGTCTATAAGCTCTACGTTCATCGTATCGATCATTCCAAGGCACCTCGAAGGTCTGTTGTGCATGGGATGATTTGTGAGAGCATGTCTGCCATCGGGCCATGCTTGAGGTCGACATCACCAGGCCTGGATCATGCGAAGATATTCGAAGACGGCAGAGTGTGGCACGTACCAGCACTGGTCTAGCATGCTGTGGTGCTCGCGCAAGGGATGGTCAGGAAGTTCCCCGTGCCAAACGCAGAACCTCCTTGACCTTGCGTCGCCTAGCGCACGTGCAGCTGGAGAGTAAGGCAGGATTCGATGGAGATGCTTGAAGGGATGGCTATCGATGTCAGACTGCCAACATATGATGAGCGGAGGATGTGAAGAACGACGCGCAAAGACATGCCCGCGAACTTCAGTGGCGGTGGTTTGCAACGCAGCTTAGCGAGTTCGACTAGAAGCTGCTAGCAGTCTCACTGCCTGCTTGCGGAATACGAAAAGACAAGATCACGCAATGAGCTTGCGTGTTGTCATGTTCTTTCCTGCAGCTCGAGCTACTTGATGTCAAAGACGACACCAGGAGATCGAGGAACTTCGCTGCCAGCACGCCCTGAAGGCATTGGACATCATGGAACCGCTCATGTCAGCTAGTGCTCAGCTACAAGAAAGCTCGGCACCAGCAACATCCTACGTCTGCTTGTCACGAAGTAGGATGAAGAATGCCCGCCCCAACCACGCGCCCTCCCAGCCGCCTCCAATGTTTGGGAATCAGTCCCAAGTCGCAAGCTCGTTCCTTTCAAAGCGAAATCCTGTCTGGTGAGCGGATGCCCATCAGTATCCAGTCTTCCCATCATACGGGCTGCGGGTTTTGCAGGTGGCTGAGCTCGAGCATGCCAGAAGAGAGCAGGCATGGGCCAAGAAGCCACGAATATTCCAATCCCTTCTTCGAGACTCCTTCCGAGCTTTGACATTTTTTTTAAAGGGTTATACCGGAAAATAATCATGCTGCATGTATCTGGGAAGCTGACAGAGGTCGATGAGCTGAAGCGGTCCAATACGGAGGCAGCTCCTTGAAGGCGGGGTGCTGGGCACGGAGGGACGGCCGACAGGAGATGGACCAGCTCCGCTCTGCCTTGGAGGCAGCCCGGTGGCAGGCCGCAATCTCGCTTTCGTCCCACTTTCGCATTCTGAAGCCGCAGTTCGGAGTCGTCTGCTTGTCTCACATGGCTTGCCGTGTTCGCTCCGTGTTCGTTTACCACAAGTGCAGGCTGATGTCTACATTCGGGAGCATCAGGCCGGCCAACTCTTTTCACAAAAAGCATCAAAGAACGCGCAGCTTGGCTTGATTCGCCTCGTGACAAGAGTCCCTGTGTAGTCGAGGATGCCGTCCGCGAAATATGTCTCAGGCACGGGTGTCATGCATCCCTTAGTTGACGTAAGTTGAAGCGATGCTGTCAGGCAAAGAGAGAATGCTCGCCTGGCCAAGAAGCACAGCGAGACTCGCCAAGAAGTCCGGGACCCAGGTCAGCCCACAGTCACCTCTCTCTTCGGAAGACCTCCTTGCGAAAGAAGTTCTTACGAGAGCTCTCGATTTCGTGTTTGGTGCCTTGTGCCCAGGCCTTGGAGTTGGCTGTCCGGCTCGAAGCGCTGAAAGCGGCCGAGGAGCCGCAGGGACAGAGCGCACAGCGAATGCAACGTGCAATCTGCGTGCGCTGAGGGCCGCGATTGGCGGAATTGGGCATTGGGACATAGTTGATCTGGGGGCCGCAGCTGTAGCTCGCTCCAAGTTCACTTCAGCTCTCCAGGGTAGGTGTTGTCACTGCTCGATGTCAGCCTAGCTGCGTCAGACCTTCGGCAAAATGGAGCCTGCGGCTTGGACCAAAGACGACATCCCTACTAGCAACCGGGTGGATGCCCAGTGCGAAGTCCATGAGACCTCGAATCCGGCGGATGCCCCCATGCCGAGATCAGCTGCAGATGAGAACAAGATCCTGCCAGAGGCAGCACTGGTAGATGTGACCACAGGCACCAAAGAGGATGCTGAGAAGAGCCCAGGCATTGCGTCGAGGCGCCAGGATGCCAAGAACTGTCGCGGACAAGCCAGGGTTTCAGGCGAAGCAAGTCTTCCAGGCCGTTTGCCTCTGAATCAAGTGTCCTTCAATTACGTGACAAGAATCAGTTAATATTACACGAGGGTAGGCTTCGCATCTCCCGCAAGCGGACACGTAGTGGGGGGAGCAGATCATCTCGATGCAGGGGTGCGATCCTTCTGACTGGACTAGCCCTCGGATGATAGGACGGCCCCTTTCAGGACTTGCATAGCAATCTGTGCTAATGTTGCAAGCCCTGAACAGGTCAGTGCCACTCAGAAGGTCAGCTCTCTGCCTGCTTCAGTCTTCCCGACGTAACGGAGACCTTGGGGGCGGCCTGCTGCGACCCAGCACTGCTTGCCCGGAACCTTGGAGCCGCAAATGTCTCGCCTTTTTTGTTTCACCCTCTTGTTTTGCAAGTTAAGTCTTTGTTTGCTTCGTTCACTCACTTCGACTAACGCGGCGCACGAGGGAGAACGAAAGTCCAGTCCACTCCGTCATCTCGTCTCATGCGGTCCGAGCTCGCCGGATGGCACGAACCGCACTTTTTTTTGGGGGCGCTAGGTTAAGGCTGGCTCGACGAGGAGTTCAAGCAATGTCAAGCCGGGAATGACATTTGCTGACTTTTCGCCCAATGAATGGGTTTTCTGCCGATTGCTGTTGCACTGGCTTTAGGTAGGGCCCTTCCCCGCCCAAACAATTCTGGGACACTATAATTATAAGGAAATGCCCCCGGAGCCCCACACAAATTTAGAGGACGAGGACCTGAGCTGAAGCCAAGGCCCTTAAGCCCTGAAACCTTTACAGCCAAAAGGCTTAAAGCTGTCCAGCCTTCCGGGGCTGCAGTTAGGGCCCTTAGAACCCTTTAGAGCCTTACGGCCTTAAACAATCCTGCAAAGAATCTGTGACTATAGCGAGTACTCGTACCCCAAACAAACCTGCAAAAGCGAATCGGGCTGGGCCGTCGTCTCCTTATCACAAAATCTGTTGGGGGCCTGTTTTCATGAAAAACCAAGAAGGTTTTTGATGGAACTGGACGTGCTTCCTGGATTCTCCAGACTGCTGCTTAGGTGGCGGAGTCAGACAAACTCTAAGCCCTTAACCCCTAACCCTAAGCACAAACCCCAGCCACAGACCCTCAACAAAAATCTCCCAAAAAGGATGAGAGCATAGCGGGTGACCCCAACAAGCTGACTTCGCAGAAAAGTCTTGGGAAACTTGTGATCAATGACCCTGGCCCTACTAAAGCCAGTGCAACATTTAAGAAAACCTCCCGCAGTCCAAAGCGCTCGAATGGTTTCCGAAGAGCCGTACAGAGAGAAATGGAAACGAGAATCTGCTGAAAGGCTTCTCCAAGAACGGTCCTCCTCCTTATCCAAAGACACTCGATGTGCGGACTGCATTCCTGCACCCTAGCGGGTGCCAGGCTGAGCTGTGCGTCTGAGAGAGCGGGTTATGCGGCCACCGTGCGCGGTCGGTCCTTTTTCAGTGTGATCTTGAGGCTTGCAAAATCTTGCCCTCTGCGAAACATTGTTCAAACCTTTTTGTGATGTCTGTGGCCGTCGCTGCGTGACCTTCGATTGCTTTCGGTTCCATTTTGAGGCTTTTTCGGGACGATGGGGGCATCCTTGGACTAGTCTAGACTTCGCTGTCGCAGTTCGGAAATTCGTGGCATGGAACTTAGCGCACGACAAGAGCAAACAAGAGCAAACAAGAGCAAACAGCACATGTCAGGCTCGGAATGGCAGACGGCGCTTTGCATCGCCTGATCTTTTCTCGCAGCTTTGCTGAACGGCGCGCGCAGGACTTTTGCGAGAATGGCTTGAGCTGGGCATCCGGGTGTACCAGCCTGGAACAGCTGCAAGTTGGCATCAGTGTATCGGAAGTCTGCGCTTCAGAAAGCCAGAACCACTTGTACTTTGAGTATGGAGGTGGTGTGAACATACTGCCAGCCACCAAGCAGCTGATTCATGCGGCAGCTCTGTTCGCGCAAAAGCACCCTCGACTGCGACTACATGTGGATGCGCATGCAGGGGTTGGTGCGCCCAGAGGGATTGCAACCGGCACGTCCCGTCGACGTGCACAGTGTGTGGTTCAAGAACTCGTCGAATTGGGCGTGCGCGCGGAGAGCGTGTCCAGCACTGCCTGGGGTAGGAGAGTCGCAATGGTTTGGGACGAACCAGAGAGCAGTGCATCTGCCCGAGCAGAGCTTTACTTCCGCTTGGACGGCAAGGAGTTTCCTGATCGCCCTGATCACTACCAAGAGGTTCCGGAAAGGAACCGGCCAACCTCAGATGGACAAGCAGACTCTTCCGACTCCGATGTCGCTGATCCCAACATCAGACGGCATCGCATGCTGGCAATGCTCCGGGCTTTAGGGTATCCTGTTCAAGTGGTGTACCGCAACCAGGAGAATGCCCCTCTCCTGGCCAGGCAGGAAAACTCATCCTCAGACCAGGAGGACAGCTGAGAAACGCTGAGAAACGCTGAGAAACTCAGAAGTGTTAGGATCGCAAGCTAGGGGCCAAAAGTAGCCCATGTACATAGGGAGCCACGCTGCAGGCCAGTAGCTGGCAGCTTTACAATTTCAGTCCATAGCAGCATCCATGTGTCATTGAAGAGACTTCAGAGAACCAGGAGTTTCAAAAAGGGATGTCTAAGAGGCTTGCTGGTATTTACTGGTCTTTCTCGTCGGGCCACAGGCGGGTGCTCCGGCGCGGCAGGCCGAGCTCCAGGCTGTTCGGTCCCCGTCGGGCGTGGGATGCCGTGGAGGGAAAGGCCTGACATGGTGCGACTTTCAGGTTCGGCACCGCTATGCCTTGCTGCAACAAACCGCCGCAGAATGGAGAGAGGCCGCACACCGCTTCTGGTCAAGTTCTTCCCTTCCCACCCAACCCGCCCCCCACCCCCCCCCCCCCCGACGTTGCCAGGCGCTTGTACGGAAGCAGGGCGACTGCGACCTTTGGCGGCGGCGAGCTGCGAGCTCTCCCCGTTTTTTCCTTAGACTGGCTGTTTGGCTTCGATGGCCACTTCAGCTCATGCCAGGAATCAAAGGGGCTGGCAGTTCGGCGCGATGATGCAGAGCTCCAGGCCGGCCGACACAGGTAAGATGTGCTGATTAATGTATTGGATAGGTGATGTGCTGGGAGGTTGTGCATTGTGTGCAAACCTGCAAGGCCGAGATTCGAAGCCTCATTGCTGCGCCGGCATTCAGGCAGAGCTTTCTGCACAGTCCCCCGCTGACTGCTCACGCTCAAAATGTGTCAGTCCACGTGGGCACGGCTACTGGGGAGAGGCCCGTGTTTGCTGGGCGGGTTTTGCTTCTCACCCACCTTGTCCCCATACAACGCGGTTCCTGTGGGGGAGGCCTTTGGCGCAGACAGGCCGCTGCAGATGGTGAGTGCACGGCTCAGAATGATTCAGATTTCGTATGGCAGGATGAAAGGTCGGGGTGAAGGGGGGTCCTGGCGGGGTTGCGGACTTTTGCGGCTTCACAGCCTCAACTCCGGTCCCTTAACCCCTAAATTGCGAACATGAAGAAAAGGGGGAAGCTCCAAACCAAGCCCAACAGAAGCGCACACACCCCTAAGCTCCGAACCCTGCTGACAGGGTTGCACTTGTGGGATCGGCCTTCCTCTAGGCCGGAGTCCCGTCAGTCCTTCCTTGGCTTGGGCCACGCCTACCAGGCAGCGCAAGCAGCACGAGCAACGCGAGACGATGTGAGCCAATAATGCGAGCCAGTGAGTTCCATCGTTCTGAGCTGCGGAGCCTTGTCAGGCGCACAGCGCCCCTGCAGTCACCTATGTGGAGACGTCCGGCTCGCAGAGGAAGATCCTTCGAGCCCACCAGGCTAAGCGGGGTTGTCAGAAACTGCGGCGCAGCTCAATACTCATCAAAAGCACACACGTTGTCGGGTAGTTGTGGGGTTTGGCTTTAGAGTTTAGGGTTTATGGCTCTGGGAGCTTTAGGACTTTAGGATGTAGGTCAGGGTTTTTGAAATTTTGCTCAACACCCAGCAGCAAGCTTCCACTGGCGAATCGACTTGCCTTCCTCAGGATTCACCTTGACAGAAGCTGGATACAAACCTCCAATCCATGCGGCCGGCCTGTTCGTCCTTGAAATCGATCTTACGTCTGCGCTGCTCATCGCATCATCTCCTTGCCAAGCACGTGCTCATGTTCCCGCACTGGTGACAACTCCTGGTTCCGGTTTTTCTGCCGCCCTCATAAGTAGCGGTGGCTTAGTGATTCTTGGTTTCATCCTGTTGCCTGTGCCGCCCTCAGAAGTATTGGTCGCCGGGCACCAATTCATTCCATCTTCGGTCCATGGATGTCTAGGGATTTTTGCAGGAGGACGTGCGGCATTGTCCTCCATGAAGAGCCGCCAAGAGAGTTTGAATTGTGCCAACGAGCTCGGGCCCTAGCAACTCCGCAAGCCAAGGCCAAGGTCGCACCAAAACCAGACACGTATCGAAGATAATCGAATTTCCTGGTCAAAAGCGTCGGGTGCACCGTGGACCATAGCCAACGGAAGAAACACAGGTGGAGTCCGCTGCTTGCGCAGGGGAGGGCTTTGAGTCTAATCTGCGTCAGTCCTCTCGGTGCCTTCGCGCCCAAACCAGGGCTTATCCAAAGCTGCCATGGAATCACTCACCAAGCCGCCGCCTAGACGAGGCAGCACCACCCGCAGCCACCATAAACGATTCGCAAGAACCGTTGGTTGTGCCACTGGATGTTCCAGCCTGTTCCAGCGTACCGCCACAGCCTGACTGGCAACGGGCAACAGGCGCAATCATATTGCAGTTGCCCCGATCCATCTGCTCGGAGGGTGTTCACCTTGTGAGTAGCAGCAAGCCTTTCAGCTGAATGAAAACACGCAAGTCCCCGTTCTTCGGCAGATTACTTGCGCGCTCCATGCAACATGGGGTAGAGCCTGCAAACTGAACTCTACAGGACGATGTGTGTGGCACGGAGTTTCGTGACGGTTTGTTTGCTTGCTTTGTTTGTTTTTTGGTTTGTTTGTGTGCGCTTCCTCCAATTGGGCATTCGATCAGCGGCTTAAGGGTGAGTCTATCCGCGCCCAAGAGGCTGACCTGAGTTGTTGCCAGAGGCTTTGCTGTTTTAACAGAGGCAACTTGACGTGTCAAGTGGAATTGGCTGCTCATCTTTCAGTTTCGAACAGGGTGCAGCGATTGCACAATGAGACGGCTACTCCGAGTTGACTTCGTAGAGAAATGGCGACTGATGCTGCGGAGGGTTTCTTCGATCCTCAAAGATCCCACGCGGCCCCGGATCCCCCTTGAAAGCAGCGAGGCCGCCAGGGAAACTTCAGCTGATGCTCATGATGCGCGGCCACCCGAAGCCCAAACGAGCACCCTCGTGCACCGAGATGTTCATGATGGCTCGTGCCGAAAACGGCCCAAACCCGCCAAGAAAACCGGAGATGTGCTATATCGTTTTTCGACAGGTACCTATGCTACGAGCTTTCCATCTCACCGCCAGAACCCTATGCATAGACCCTGCCGGTTTTTGTATAGACCTCTGCCGCCTCCCTTCTGCATAGACCCTATCCATACCTGTGCCAGCCCCTCTGTGGCCCTGTCCACTTTCCATAGACACCTTCTTCCCTGACGATAGACCCTATCCGGAAAAGCATAAATTCTGTTGTCAACTTGTAGTCTTAAGAAACGATAACCAGCTTGCGCGGCATTAAACAAGCGGGGGGGGGGGGGGGGGGGGGGGGGGGGGGGGGGGTGCAGCCCCCACCCATTCGAAAACACGATGCTCGTACGGTGGGTTTGGAAGGGGTTCGTATGGTTTTTACGGTTTAAGTTAGGGCTTAGGGCCTAGGGGTTTTAGGGTTCAGGGTTTTTGGGTTTAGGGCTCAGTCTTTTTTTTGTTTTTACGGTTTAGGGTTTAGGTTTCTTAGGGATTAGGGTTTTGTAGGATTCAGGGTTTTTTTGAGTTTAGGGTTTAGTAAGGGGTTTTAGGGTTTAGATTTTTTTTTAGGGTTTAGGGCTTAGGTTTTTTAAGGGTTTAGGGTGTTTAGCGTGTTTAGGGTTTGAGGGTTTTAGGGTTTAGGATGTTTTGGGTTCAGGGCTTAGGGGTATTTATGGTTTAGGGTTTAAGGGCTTTTAGGGTTTGGAGTTTGGGGGTTTTACGGTTTGGGGTGTGGGGGTTTTGAGGGTCTAGGGCGTAGGGGATTCTAGGGTTTTTGGGTTTAGGGCTTAGGGGTTTTTAGGGTTTAGGGATTAGGAGTTTTTAAGGTTAAGGTTTTTTTGGTTTTAGAGTTCAGGGTCTTTTAGGGTTTAGGGTTTAGGGTTTTTTGTTCTTCGGGCTCGGTTTCTTTTTGCGGTTTAGGGTTTGGGGTTTTAGGATTTTGGGGTTTAGGGTTTTTAAGGGTTTTTTGGGGTTCAGGGTTTGTTTTTTTTGGGTTTAGGTTACGGCCTTTAAGGGTGTAGGGTTTAGGGGCTTTTAGGGGGTCGGTTTAGGGTTTAGGGGTTTCAGGGTCTAGGGTTTAGGCTTTTTTTCGGGTTAGGGGTTTAGGGGGTTTCAGGTTTAGGGTTTGGGGTGCAGGGGTTTTCAGGTTTAGGGTTTAGGGTGCAGGGGTTTTCAGGGTTTAGGGTTTAGGGTTTTTAGGGTTTAGGGTGCAGGGGGGTTTTTAGAGTTTAGGGTTTAGGGAGTGTTTAGGGTTCAGGGTTTACAGTAGGGTTTTAAGGTTTAGGGTTTAGGGTTTTTTTGGGTTTAGGGCTAAGGGTCTTTTAGGGTTTAGAGTTTTTTGGGCTTTGGGCTTAGGGTTTTTCAGGGTTTCGGGCTTAGGGCTTTTTAGGGTTTAGTGTTTTTAGTTTAGAGTTTAGGGTTTAGGGTTTTAGGGTTTACCCTGCGGATTCAACATCGGGGATGGTTTCGTATCGGTTTTTTCGAGGTTTTGTGTTTTAGTTTTTTTCTGTCCAGGGCAAAAACAGGTTTCGGGAAAGACAAATTGAAGTACTGTTGCATTTGCGACAGTCCCATGGTAACCATTAGCATTTCTTCCGAAAACAAAATCAACTTATGGTTTTCTGCATTTGCGCACCGCGCTCTCGCCTTCCGCACACACAGCGCTTCAACAATGCTACGAAACCCCACACAGGCCCATGAATTTGTGCTTTTCTTTTCACTGGAAAACCGATTGGCCAGAGGCGGTCGCTGAATGTGAGCTGCAGATAAAAATGAAACGCGCACGAGATGGATGTAATTAACCCCCCCCCCCCGAACATAAAGAAAAATAGGCACGGAACGCTGTTACAGCTTTCCGTCGTTTGTGCCATGTTGAACAACAAGCAAAGAATGAAAGAAGAGTGTAAGAGGGCAATTCGAAATCATGCGCAACCATGCGCAGGCCAAGGCCAAGGCCCCAAAGACCTGATTCCGCACACACTGCGCTGAAAATCATCAATGTTGCCAATGCTACGAAACCCCACGCAGGCCGATGAATTTGTGCTTTTCTTTTCATTGGAGAACCGATTGGACAGAGGCGGTCGCTGAATGTGAGCTGCAGATAGAAGAAACGCTGTAATTAACCCCCCCCCACCCCCCCACCCCCCCGCCCCCCCCCCCCCCCCCCCCCCCACCCCCCCACCCCGGTTTAGGATGTTTTGGGTTCAGGGCTCAGGGTTTTACGGTTTAGGGTTTAAGGGCTTTTAGGGTTGGGGGTTTGGGGGTTTTACGGTTTAGGGTTTGGGGGTTTTGAGGGTCTAGGGCGTAGGGGATTTTAGGGTTTTTGGGTTAGGGCTTAGGGGTTTTTAGGGTTTAGGGATTAGGAGTTTTTAAGGTTTAGGTTTTTGGGTTTTAGAGTTCAGGGTCTTTTAGGGTTTAGGGTTTTTTGTTTTTGGGGCTCAGTTTCTTTTTGCGGTTTAGGGTTTGGGGTTTTGGGGTTAAGGGTTTAGGGTTTTTAAGGGTTTTTTGGGGTTCAGGGTTTGTTTTTTTTGGGTTTAGGTTACGGCCTTTAAGGGTGTAGGGTTTAGGGGCTTTTAGGGGGTCGGTTTAGGGTTTAGGGGTTTCAGGGTCTAGGGTTTAGGCTTTTTTTCGGGTTAGGGGTTTAGGGGGTTTCAGGTTTAGGGTTTGGGGTGCAGGGGTTTTCAGGTTTAGGGTTTAGGGTGCAGGGGTTTTCAGGGTTTAGGGTTTAGGGTTTTTAGGGTTTAGGGTGCAGGGGGGTTTTTAGGGTTGAGGGTTTAGGGAGTGTTTAGGGTTTAGGGTTTACAGTAGGGTTTTAAGGTTAAGGGTTTAGGGTTTTTTTGGGTTTAGGGCTAAGGGCCTTTTAGGGTTTAGAGCTTTTTGGGTTTTGGGCTTAGGGTTTTTCAGGGTTTAGGGCTTAGGGTTTTTTAGGGTTTAGGGTTTTTAGTTTTGAGTTGAGAGTTTAGGGTTTTAGGGTTTTAGGGTTTTAGGGTTTTAGGGTTTAGGATGTTTTGGGCTCAGGGCTCAGGGTTTTTACGGTTTAGGGTTGAAGGGCTTTTAGGGTTGGGGGTTTGGGGGTTTTACGGTTTAGGGTTTGGGGGTTTTGAGGGTCTAGGGCGTAGGGGATTTTAGGGTTTTTGGGTTAGGGCTTAGGGGTTTTTAGGGTTTAGGGATTAGGAGTTTTTAAGGTTTAGGTTTTTTGGTTTTAGAGTTCAGGGTCTTTTAGGGTTTAGGTTTTTTTGTTTTTGGGGCTCAGTTTCTTTTTGCGGTTTAGGGTTTGGGGTTTTGGGGTTAAGGGTTTAGGGTTTTTTAGGGTTTTTTGGGGTTCAGGGTTTGTTTTTTTTGGGTTTAGGTTACGGCCTTTAAGGGTGTAGGGTTTAGGGGCTTTTAGGGGGTCGGTTTAGGGTTTAGGGGTTTCAGGGTCTAGGGTTTAGGCTTTTTTTCGGGTTAGGGGTTTAGGGGGTTTCAGGTTTAGGGTTTGGGGTGCAGGGGTTTTCAGGTTTAGGGTTTAGGGTGCAGGGGTTTTCAGGGTTTAGGGTTTAGGGTTTTTAGGGTTTAGGGTGCAGGGGGGTTTTTAGAGTTTAGGGTTTAGGGAGTGTTCAGGGTTTAGGGTTTACAGTAGGGTTTTAAGGTTAAGGGTTTAGGGTTTTTTTGGGTTTAGGGCTAAGGGCCTTTTAGGGTTTAGAGCTTTTTGGGTTTTGGGCTTAGGGTTTTTCAGGGTTTAGGGCTTAGGGTTTTTTAGGGTTTAGGGTTTAGGGTTTTTAGTTTCGAGTTGAGAGTTTAGGGTTTTAGGGTTTTAGGGTTTTAGGGTTTTAGGGTTTTAGGGTTTTAGGGTTTTAGGGTTTAGGATGTTTTGGGCTCAGGGCTCAGGGTTTTTTCGGTTTAGGGTTTAAGGGCTTTTAGGGTATAGGGGTTTGGGGGTTTTACGGTTTAGGGTTTGGGGGTTTTGAGGGTCTAGGGCGTAGGGGATTTTAGGGTTTTTGGGTTTAGGGCTTAGCGGTTTTTAGGGTTTAGGGATTAGGAGTTTTTGAGGTTTAGGTTTTTTTGGTTTTAGAGTTCAGGGTCTTTGAGGGTTTAGGTTTTTTGTTTTTAGGGCTCGGTTTCTTTTTGCGGTTTAGGGTTTTGGGGTTTTAGGGTTTGGGGTTTAGGGTTTTTTAGGGTTTTTTGGGGTTCAGGGTTTGTTTTTTTTGGGTTTAGGTTACGGCCTTTAAGGGTGTAGGGTTTAGGGGCTTTTAGGGGGTCGGTTTAGGGTTTAGGGGTTTCAGGGTCTAGGGTTTAGGCTTTTTTTCGGGTTAGGGGTTTAGGGGGTTTCAGGTTTAGGGTTTGGGGTGCAGGGGTTTTCAGGGTTAGGGTTTAGGGTGCAGGGGTTTGCAGGGTTTAGGGTTTAGGGTTTTTAGGGTTAGGTTCCAGGGGGGTTTTTAGGGTTTTGGGTTTAGGGAGTGTTTAGGGTTTAGGGTTTACAGTAGGTTTTTAAGGTTTAGGGTTTAGGGTGTTTTTGGGTTTAGGGCTAAGGGTCTTTTAGGGTTTATAGTTTTTTGGGTTTTGGGCTTAGGGTTTTTCAGGGTTTAGGGCTTAGGGTTTTTTAGGGTTTAGGGTTTTTAGTTTAGAGTTTAGAGTTTAGGGTTTTAGGGTTTAGGATGTTTTGGGTTCAGGGATCAGGGTTTTTACGGTTTAGGGTTGAAGGGCTTTTAGGGTTGGGGGTTTGGGGGTTTTACGGTTTAGGGTTTGGGGGTTTTGAGGGTCTAGGGCGTAGGGGATTTAGGGTTTTTGGGGTTAGGGCTTGGCGGTTTTTAGGGTTTAGGGACTAGGAGTTTTTAAGGTTAGGTTTTTTGGGTTTTAGAGTTCAGGGTCTTTTAGGGTTTAGGTTTTTTGTTTTTGGGGCTCGGTTTCTTTTTGCGGTTTAGGGTTTGGGGTTTTAGGGTTTGGGGTTTAGGGTTTTTTAGGGTTCTTTGGGGTTCAGGGTTTTGGTTTTTTTGTGTTTAGGTTACGGCCTTTAAGGGTGTAGGGTTTAGGGACTTTTAGGGGGTCCGTTTAGGGTTTAGGGGTCTTCAGGGACTAGCGTTTAGGTTTTTTTTCGGGTTAGGGGTTTAGGGGTTTTCAGGTTTAGGGTTTAGGGTGCAGGGGTTTTCAGGGTTTAGGGTTTAGGGTGCAGGGGGGTTTTTAGGGTTTAGGGTTTAGGGAGTGTTCAGGGTTTAGGGTTTACAGTAGGGTTTTAAGGTTTAGGGTTTAGGGTTTTTTTGGGTTTAGGGCTAAGGGCCTTTTAGGGTTTATAGTTTTTTGGGTTTGGGGCTTAGGGTTTTTCAGGGTTTAGGGCTTAGGGTTTTTTTGGGTTTAGGGTTTTTAGTTTAGAGTTTGCAGTTTAGGGTTTTCGGGTTTTAGGGTTTAGGATGTTTTGGGTTCAGGGCTCAGGGTTTTATGGTTTAGGGTTTAAGGGCTTTTAGGGTTGGGGGTCTGGGGGTTTTACGGTTTAGGGTTTGGGGGTTTTGAGGGTCTAGGGCGTAGGGGATTTAGGGTTTTTGGGGTTAGGGCTTAGCGGTTTTTAGGGTTTAGGGACTAGGAGTTCTTAAGGTTAGGTTTTTTGGGTTTTAGAGTTCAGGGTCTTTTAGGGTTTAGGTTTTTTGTTTTTGGGGCTCGGTTTCTTTTTGCGGTTTAGGGTTTGGGGTTTTAGGGTTTGGGGTTTAGGGTTTTTTAGGGTTCTTTGGGGTTCAGGGTTTTGGTTTTTTTGTGTTTAGGTTACGGCCTTTAAGGGTGTAGGGTTTAGGGACTTTTAGGGGGTCCGTTTAGGGTTTAGGGGTCTTCAGGGACTAGGGTTTAGGTTTTTATTCGGGTTAGGGGTTTAGGGGGAAGTTTTAGGATTTAGGTTGTAGGGTGCAGGGGTTTTCAGGGTTTAGGGTTTAGGGTTTTTAGGGTTTAGGGTGCAGGGGTTTTTTTAGGGTTTAGGGTTTAGGGAGTGTTCAGGGTTTAGGGTTTACAGTAGGGTTTTAAGGTTTAGGGTTTAGGTTTTTTTTGGGTTTAGGGCTAAGGGCCTTTTAGGGTTTAGAGTTTTTTGGGTTTTGGGCTTAGGGTTTTTCAGGGTTTAGGGCTTAGGGTTTTTTTAGGGTTTAGGGTTTTTAGTTTAGAGTTTGCAGTTTAGGGTTTTAGGGTTTTAGGGTTTAGGATGCTTTGGGTTCAGGGCTCAGGGTTTTATGGTTTAGGGTTTAAGGGCTTTTAGGGTTGGGGGTTTGGGGGTTTTACGGTTTAGGGTTTGGGGGTTTTGAGGGTCTAGGGCGTAGGGGATTTAGGGTTTTTGGGTTTGGGGCTTAGGGGTTTTTAGGGTTTAGGGATTAGGAGTTTTTAAGGTTAGGTTATTTGGGTTTTAGAGTTCAGGGTCTTTTAGGGTTTAGGGTTTTTTGTTTTTAGGGCTCGGTTTCTTTTTGCGGTTTAGGGTTTGGGGTTTTAGGGTTTGGGGATCAGGGTTTTTTAGGGTTTTTTGGGGTTCAGGGTTTTGGTTTTTTTGTGCTTAGGTTACGGCCTTTAAGGGTGTAGGGTTTAGGGGCTTTTAGGGGTCGGTTTAGGGTTTAGGGGTCTTCAGGGACTAGGGTTTAGGTTTTTTTTTCGGGTTAGGGGTTTAGGGGGTTTCAGGGTGTAGGATTTAGGGTGCAGGGGTTTTCAGGGTTTAGGGTTTAGGGAGTTTTAGGGTTTAGGGTGCAGGGGTTCTTAGGGTTTAGGGTTAGGGAGTGCTTAGGGTTTACACTAGGGTTTTAAGGTTTGTGGTTTAGGGTTGAGGGTTTTTTGGGTTGAGGGCTAAGGGTTGTTTAGGGTTTAGATATTTTCGGCTTTTGGGCTTAGTTTTTTTTTCGGGTTTAGGGCTTAAGGTTTTGTTAGGGTTTAGGGTTTTAGGGTTTTAGGGTTTAGGGTGTTTTGGGTTCAGGTTTCAATGGTTTAGGGGTTAGGAGTTTTTGCGGTTTAGGTTTTTTTGGGTTTAGAGTTTAGGGTCTTTTAGGGTTTAGGGTTTTAGGGTTTCAGGGTTTTGGTTTGGGATTTTTTTTTCGGTTTAGGGGTTTTCAGGCTTTAGGGTTTACGGCCTTTTAGGGTGTAGGGTTTAGGGCCTTTAGAGGGGTCTTCAGGGACTAGGGTTTAGGCTTTTTTCGGGTTAGGGGGTTAGGGGGTTTCAGGGTTTAGGGTTTAGGGGTCTCAGAGAGGTGCCTGCAGCCTGTGCATGGGTGCCTATCTGTTACACCGCTGTAGATACGGGTCAGAAGCGATACGGACGACTGCTTATCGAACTCTTACTCATCCGGAAGCATCGGCTGAGCCCAGCTAAGTCATCCCGCTAGGGATAAGCCCTATCGTCAAAATGTAAGGGAGTTTGAGCTTGTGGTTGACATCTGCGAGAGCGGAAAAAGCCCTTCACTGACCCTCGCCCCCAGCTTGCCGGGGTCGGTGGGTTTATGTTGAAAATTGTTTCTTTGGATGCAACCCATCTGAACTGAAGCTTGGCAACTGTCGACATGTCTTGAATGCATTTGCACGTCCGGACGGCTGTACAGGGCCACACAAGGACCATAGGCCACTGGGATTCTGCCTGCGTTTCCTTGGTGCATAGGCCTGGATTGGCCGGCTCCGCATCGCAGCCACGCACGTGGCTTAAACGCTGTTCTGGCTCCGGACAGAAGCTGACAGGGATTATGAAATAATCATGTGCTCGTAAGCAAGGTCTGGATGCGACCCCGCGTTCGCCGCCTGGCCCTCTGTCTCTTTGCCTTGGTTTAATGCCCTTTTGTGTCGAGTTATGTCGAAGCAGCCGAGTCGGGACATCGGACATCAGGTCTCCGCATCCAGCGGGCGAGGCGGACATGCCGTTCTTGCTGGTTACAAAATGAGCTCTTTGTTCTGCAGTGCTACCTTGGATTCCTGATTCCTCCGTCCTGCACTAGGAACGCGCTGCTCAAACAGCATCCCCAAACCAGAAAAAACCCTACTTATCACCAACGCAGAGTGTCTCCACATCTTGAGCAAGCTCGGTGAAGTTATCTAGGCACTGGCTGTGTCACAGTGGTCTTTGTCTACAGCGCCCAGACCCAATCCAGCAGGCACAAACGGTCGAGTTCAGGTCAGCGCATGCCTAGACCGCGGAACAAAGGCGGTAACGCAACGCAGCCAAGAAGAGGGATTACCGGGATGTCCGCACCATGCGCAGCCCATGTTCCTTGAGCTGGATCCATGTTCGAGCTGCTGGTGCGCCTTGTAATCTTGCCCATGCCTCGGATGAACTTGCAAAGCAGACTCAGCAGACTAAGCAGACCCTGCCATCCTGGCGCCCTCTTGCAGGTGGCTGGTGCCAGGCGGTGCGCTTGCTGCCGGGCTCTCTCCAGACTCGCGCCTCGGAGGATCACGCGTGTTTCGCCTTGAGTCGCATTGATATGAAAGGGATTCTGAATAGGATGGCGCGGCTGTTAATTTGGTCTTGCTCCAAGATCTCCAAGGCTCACCATCCTTCTGTCTGTTGGCGCGAGTATCTGTGAAATCTGGCTATGGCTTTCAGTGCTTACAAGCTCCAAGCGTCGATCGCCACCTTGGCGGAGCTTTTTCCTTCGACTTGCCGGGTTATGTACGCTACAGACGCTTGACTCAGCTTAACACAACAAGAGAACAGCAAGGGTTGCAACTCTGCCATGCTGCGGGGCTTTTGATGTATTTGTACAGTAGGTATGGTACTGTGCTTACGATAAGCAGGTTCGTCCGCCATCAAATTCAATGTGGCAAAGACGAAAGATAGGAGATGAGAGATATGTCATTTCCGGACTCAAACCAGAGCTTGGAGTGTAGGAGCTTCCTAGCTAGCTCGCTACCTACTTGATCGCTCTGCTTCAGTTTACCATGTTCAACTGCGTGGCTCATTTGCGCATTCGGTTTGACAATCGCATGGGAGGCATTGCGACCTTGCTGAAAAAAGCGATTTTCTAGCACCCTTAAGCTACGTCGCAATGCCAATATGGGCTCACAAGATTGTGGCAGTTGAACGCGCGCACGCACTCGACAGTGCCCATGAAAACACGCCGCCAAGGTCGGCAGATACCACATGTTCGCAATGTGTACGGACGTTATTGCCCACCTCCTCTCAATCCAACAAACCCGCAACTTCCACGTGAGCTGCTCAAGCCGAGGTGGCGTCAGCACCTACATACCTACTTACTTAGCTTTCTCAACGCTTCTGGAAGAGAGCACATGGACAGTCATGGACGCCCATGAGCCAACCAAGGATCTGGTCTTTGCTGCTTCATGAGAGCATGCGCCCTGATGACCCGGAGCCGGTGGCCGATGTGCCTGCGAAAGACAGCAATGGGCCCAGGCCCCCGATGGTTCGAGGTTCGAAGGCCGGCGAGGAGGAGTCATGTCATGAGGTCTGATCCACACCGTTTGGGCGTCCCTGCTCAGGCAAAGTCCGTGGAGTCACCAAAGACGTCTCCATCCCCTTCGCCTCGGCCCGTTTCAGCTGTGGAGGCCCCCAAGCCAAACTGCTCGAAAAGACGCATGATGACACGTCATAGATCTGTCTCATCACGGGTCCCGTGTTGGCTTTTTTGGTGGCTGTAAGGCTGGATTGTGTAAACAAAATCAAAAAAGCAGTTGTAGGCAATTGCACGCAGTCGTGTGAACACTTGCAAGCAAACATGTTTCAGCCACAAGGTTGAACCTCCACGGATAGCGCGCGCCTCGCTGGCGGCCGTTGGCGAGGGCAACTTCGTGGTGGATGCGGCGCCGGAGGACCTAAAGTGGTCACCGCGCACGATCTCCGTTGCGCGAGCCCCAAGCTGCTTCAACAAAGCCCGCTCAGTCGAGCAAGTGGTCATTGGCCCAAGGTCCTTCCTTGCGCGGAGGAGCGCGATTTGGCCGACTCTTGCCAGAAGTGCGGAGTGGGGATTCGAGGAGTATCCCTGTTATGTGGCAGGTTGCGGAGTGGGGTTGGGGTGGGGTTGGGGTGGGGTTTGGGCGAGGGGCTAGGGGAGTTGAAGTAAACAAGGCCGAAGGTTCATTTGGTTGCTCACAACGCTGTATTGCGCGAGATAGCGAGGAGCCGGCTGCATCAATGCAGCAGCAAAGCTAGATGCCAGCTGTCACCACCAACCCACATCCACCTGTTCAAGTCGCAAGCCGCGACGCTCCACTTCCTAAGTTCAAAACCGTGAAGTCCGTCTTCGACACGACGCCGGCACAGATTCTGCACGAGATCGTCGTTGTTGACGATGGCAGCACTCAGTCTCCAATTTGAGTGAAGTACTTGTAGGTCACTCCACGACAGCTCCCACTGAATCAAGGTTCCGATATGCGGTAGTCGAGCAGTAACTAGATGGTGGAGCATGAATCTGTCAAGTCAGATGCACGAAGACCCTGCGCGTCAGTTCAGATCGCACTGGGCCCCTTTGGGCCTCTTTTTTGATGTCTGAGGCAATCCTCCCCTATCTCAGACACACCTGCAGCCCGACATCCAGCAGAAGTACAAGATCCTGATCAAGCGACACGACCGGACCGTGGGACTCATTGGTGCCAAGAAGACGGGAGGAGATGCCGCCACTGGTGATATTATTGTGTTCTTTGACTGCCACGTGGGACACTTGACAGCGCTTCGCTCCGTGTCTTTCCTTTTTTAAAGTTGTTTTCGTTGCGGCTCTGCGATCCTTCCTGCTCCGCCCAACTCAGCTCCTCAGCGTGATTGGCACGAAGACTTCATGCAGCTCATCGCTCAGAACTATCGTCGCATGGTGATACCTCAGATCACGGCACTGGACATCGACAGCTGGACCCAGATCGGCCGTGGAGGCGGCATGTCAAAGTGCTACCTTACATGGGATGGCGACTTCAAGTGGGGAGGAACGGACGACATGTACATGGGGATGCTCTCCGGTGGCTTGGCCGGGATGTCGCGCCAGTGGTGGGACGAAAGCGGAGGGTACGACGAGAAGATGCTGGGTTGGGGAGGAGAGAACATCGATCAAGGCGTGCGCATGTGGGTCTGCGGTGGCGAAATTGTCGCCGCTCCCAATTCGCAAGTGGCACACATGTGGAGAACAGGATCTGCAAAGACTAGCGCGCGATACAAACACGTTGGTGATACGATCTACAATCGTGCCAGAGCCATAAACGCATGGCTGGAAGAGTTCAGTGCCAAATTGGATGACTATCCGAACTTCGCACATCGCAAGCAAAACGGTGGTCCCAATTGGTTTGGAGACCGGCTCTCAGTCTCTTCTCTCATGATTCTTTTGTGTCCTTTAAAGACACTTGGCTACTCACTTGTGGCTTCAGATGTAATTAGTACTCGTAAGGACATGAGCACCTTCAACAACGTGAAAAAGCGGCTCAATGGCTGCAGACCCTTCGCCTGGTACTTGAAGCGCTTCAAGGTCGTCTACGAAGATGCGGGTCTGATCCCACCGGAAATCTTCATGATCAGAGAGGACGCAGCCTTTGCTAGCTTTGGAACGCCTTGGAACCCTGAAAAGTGGTCTTGCAGTTTCCACGCACAGCACAGAACATCTCAGCCCGAGGAGCAAAGCGGACTCTGCTTACGGTTTATGGGCGGGGCAGGGACGAGTGGCTCCGGATCCGAAGGCGTGAGGCCTGCGCCTCTCGCACTTGTCAGCGAGAAGTCAGCGGCGAGGGATGCTTTGTCGGTTTTGTGAGGCTCGAAAACTGTGACCACGACAACCACCGCTTCTTCTGGCACCTTGGAAATCGCAACAAGCCTCTTGGCGGCCTTTGTCCCGCTGCCCAAGTTGTGGCCTGATTGTAAGATAAACGGGCCCCTTTGAATATTTTATGTTTGGAATAGTGGTCGGGGCCCTCGTAGTCCTTTGAAACCCATTATAACATATTAAATTCATGTGCGGGTGTAGAAGATCATATTTCTTCCGACGAGACCAATTGTTATTGCTACCTTATTCCTTTTACTTTTTGGAAGCAGTTTTTCGGGAGAGCGAAGAATCGCTAGAAAGAAGTGGGCCGGACAGTCGCTACCTCATAGCTTGCAGTTCCATAGAACTTTTCTCTTGTATCTCATGGCTGGCCTGGCCAACCGGGACTACGAAATGGAAAGAAGAAGGATTCTCTAAATGGAAAGATGCAGTATTCTCTACTGTCATGCCCACGTATGTCCACTTCCGCAGCTTAGGAAGACCAAGTCAGCTACTCAGTCTGCTTCTCTCGAGAGCCAGAAAGTACATACCAGTCGTCTGCATACCTGGCATACCTGTCGCAGGAAATGCTGCAGTGGTTTGCGCGCGTGGAACACGGACCAGTGCCTTCAGGCCAGCTTGACTTGATCACAACATTCATGTTCCTTGTGTTTTCTCGAAAGCACACGGATGTGCATGGGTTGGCTCGCAGGACGTTCAAACTGGGTCGCAAAAGCCAAAAGCTTTGTGGTGGCTTTTGGAGAGTAGGATTGTGCCTAGGGGCTGACTGACCACGCCTAGCTGTTTTGCAGAGCTTGTACCTGAGTCCTGCACTCGATGACCTGTAAAGCTAGCAAGCACTGCAAAATGGAAGTGCTTTCTGTTCACGGGCTTGATACGGGGCTCCTCGCGTGTATGCTCGATGTGTCTGGTGTGCATTGTTGATGAGCTCATATTGCCAAGAGATGCATATTGACGTCCAGGGTTTCACGTACCACTCGTGCATTTCATGGAAGCTTGACCCCGTGAAGTGGGGCTTTCGTGTGTGTGTGTGTGTGTGTGTCTGTGTCCGCCTGTCTGCTCCAGTATATTTCCCATGGCCAGCGCAAGAGAAAGCAGGGACTCTCATCTCACATTTCTTCTTGAATCCAGTAGAATAAACTATGTGTGAGTGGGTCACCGCTGGAGGACAAAATGCTTTGTTGAGACTCAGGGGCTTTCGTTCACTTGAGTGTGCCAACGAAACACTCAATTGCAACGAAGCACGCTCTCAACACCGACTTTGGACGCCTTAATGTTTGGGCGGAGCTTCAGTCCCACCGCGCGTTACACGCGATATGCTGTTTGAATGCTGCCCTCTAGTTGAGCTGCCGTTCAGTTGCTCTTGCAGTTGGACTCACCTCGCGCAGATCCAGGCATGTGTTTCTTGGTGCCAGTGCTGTTCATCAGTCGCATGCCAGGGTGGCCAGTCGGGTGGACGTGGAATCACCGGCATTTGTGCCCCGCATGCACGTAACTGGTACAACATGAGGATGAGCCTAGGGCCTAGCGGCTGAAGCCTTCCGACCTAACTTACCGTCACTGCTCCAGAGGACTGCATGCCTTCACAGCGGATTTTGGTTTGCTTGTTGCTGATTGCTGTTGCTGAGGCGAGCTCTCTGGAACGAATCCTTCTCAAGCTTGGTCTTTGACGGACGCAGTTTGGCGGAAAAGCGTTGCTTTGAGAAGGTATCGAGGTCGTTAGTGAGGTTGTTGGGACCTTGTATAGCCCGAACACCGGTGATGTGCGGTGATGCGCTAGTGGCTTGTGGCTCCTGGGTGTTACTGGCAAGAGTTTCATGGCCGTCGTTGTTGCCGTTTCAGAATTTTACAGCGAGCCTCTCACGAGCTGCAGGAAATGTCGGACATGGCTGCTCATGTTGTCTCTCAGGAAGGCCTGCTCAAGAAGGGCTCTACGTGTCTCGGCCCTGCAAACACCCCGACGCCGGGCCTGAAGGAGGTGCGGCAAACACGGTCTTCCTTTTTTTGGACAGCTACCGCTCGAAGCCATGCTTTCCTCTGTCCTGCAAGATTGCAACGCTTGGGACCAGGCGCCCTGTGTCTCCTTCCGGAACAAGGGTGGCTCAAGGCCGTGTGTTCGTGTTCCATCGAAGGCGTCGTGTCAGCTCCTTGCGCGTAAGAAGTATAACGCCAGGTTTTCCAAGATGAGTTCGCAGATTCCCCTGGAGACAAAACTTTACAGAAAAGCCCAGCAGGAGCACCCTGAGGCAGCGCTTTCAGTCATTGGGTAGTTGGAGGCTCAGCGCCAGGCAGCCCTGAGATTTTTTGGCAGGTTTTCGCCCGCCTCAATGCGGAGCTCAATGTGCAAGCACCTTCGGACATGCCGAACCGTTGCTTGGAACCAGGCCAATCTCAAGCGGTTGCAGCTCGCACATGGTGCCTGGTCAGTCGAAAGTTTCCCTCGAAAGAATGAAGAAAGACCGTTCTCCAGGCAGAAGCTGTGTCAAGCTGTTCTGGAAGGGTGGCACTCAGTGCCTAGATGCAGAAGCACAGTGGGTGGAGTCACAGGACAGGTTGTGTGCTGTCCGTCTGTGCCTCGCAAGCATGATGAGTATGTGCGCAGGAAGACTGTGGATACTACATCTATGAGAATCAGGCTCTGAAGCAGTCGGAAACCATGGCATGCCTGGACACATGGTCTGATGAAGTGACTTGGTTAAAGCTATGGTCATTTGCCCGGGCCACGCCCTGCTGCTTCCGAGTCATTTTTTCCCACCAAAATGCCTTCATGCCAAATGACATGCAGCGTCCAGGACGTCAGCACCTGGGGCCTCTACGAATGCCATGGTGGCAACAATCAGAAGTTCGTGCAGTCTGAGGGACAAATTTATTGCGCATACGTTGACATCGGAACTGAGCAGTGTTTTGAGGGCCGCGCCAAATGAGTCGCTGAGCCCTGCCTTCCTACAGTTCCCGACCTGTGTTGCAGCCACTGCAACCTATGCCACGTGAGGGCCAAGTCCATAGGATCAGACGACCGACGAGACAGTCTGAGGGCCAGGAGGACCTCGGCATCCGCTCGTCATACTCTGTGCAACGATGCGTCGCGGTGGTGTGAACAAGCAAAAGCGTGCACTGTAAGGGCTTGGCCCGGGCGGTTCAGGGCAACGCTTCTGTGTCCTCAAATGTCCATGTCAATGTCCTCTGAAGCTAGGTTATTTCCGTTTCTCCTCTTTTCAAAGTTGCCTGCCTAGTTTGTCACGGTGGTGCTCAAAGCTGCCAAGCTCCGCGAGGAGGCTTTGCCAACTCTTCTTGCCAGTGGACTGTTAGTCAGGTTTGACAGTTGATGCGCTTTCTCAGGCTGAGTCTCTTCATGAAGGTGCCCTCCCTGTGCTTTCCCTGTTCAACTCGAGAAGTTTGTGCCGCTTTCTCGCTTTCTCGCCTTCTCGCCTTCTCGCCTTCTCGTTTTCTGAGTTGTGCGCGCCTCTCATGCGACAGGCTTGGATGGCCCGCTGGGCAGGGCGATTGTTGAGGCCTTGCCGCTGGACCACCGTTGCCGAAGCCGAACCAGATATGACCATGCTGACCAGCGTCATACCCTACTAGCCCTACCACACCATGCCATGTCAGGCCGAGAATGAGGTGGAGATGCTAGCTTTCCTTCTCGAGGAGGCTTGGCCTCCCGGTGAGCTGACCTGAACTTACAGCTTGTTGGGGAAGTTGGTGGTGGCAAGCGGCAAGTGCTTCCAGGCGGATTCTTCGGAGGCCGAAGTTCTTCTTGAAATGGAGGCCCTGCTCTTTGACAAGGCTCAGTACCACTTGCAATGCCCTTGGCCGCTTCCAAGCCTGAGGCACAGCTGCAGGAGCCCAAAGCTCCCGTGGTGGCTGCACACCTCCGCGCCCAGATTGCGGAGCTTCAGGGCAGGAAGCCTGGCCCATAGCCACAGCAAGCAGGTCATAGTCATAGATAGCATCATGCAAGTTCGTGGAGTTGGTTCGGCTGTTGCATCTGCTGGAGTTTCCTTTGGAATCTGTGCGAGGCAGCGGTCGCTAAGCCCACCGGAGCCCGAGGGTGACCGGGGCGCATCGTAGACTCTGGCTCTCATTTCCAACCTGTCCGCTGGACAGAGGTGCCAAAGCTCGCACCCGTCCTTGTACCATAGCAGAGACATGTCCAACGAGCCACTGTCTTGCATTTGGATCGACAGTCATGCACGGTCAAACACTCAAGACAGTCTTTGGAAGGATTAGGAAGAGTTATGAGAACAATGGTTTCGGAGAGTCGGATGATTCGGATCTGGACACGACCGGGACGATACAGGGGGGGGGGAGTCGGTTCGAGAAGGGATGCTTGGGCTTTAGCAAGAACATGTGACAGTGATGGTTGGAGCATCTCGAACCACATGCGTCAATCTCAGATGTCGACACAGGGGCTTGACTATGGTTTCGTAGGTCGTGAACTTCAGGACACGGGATCCAGTCGGGGCGATGAGGTCGAGGATGCTGGATGAATCAGTCAGGTGTCGAAAGCAACGCATGACTGTTGGGGTACTTCGGCTTTTGTCTCGCCAAGATGCCCCGGAGCCTGGAGGTCCGGTTTCAGCCCGATTTGAGGCCCAACGACCCTCTGCCCTCAGCCCTCATCATCGTAGCTGCCGAGGATTTGTGGCTCAAAGGGAAGATTGGCTAATTGGCTGAAGGCCTGTAGATTCAGCTTCATATAACACACTCCTTACACAGACCCGTCACGAAAGCCATATCCAGCAAAACAACCTGAGGGCATTCCAAACCTTTCTCGCAACAGTTCAAAACAACACATATATCTACAAAAAATCAAATAGAGAAAATATTAAAAAAAAACAAATGCGCAAAGGAATAAATACACATAGTTTTAATCAATCTTAGATTGGTCCCATGCTCGGCTTCCTCCTTGGTCCCAGCGTTATCTTAAGGCCGGCAGTTGCTTCCAAGGATTTTGCTCTCGATTTTTGCCCTAATTTGACTTTGAGATAAGGGTTTAGGGTTTAGGGTTTATGTTTAGGGTTTAGGGTTTAGGCGTTTAGGGGTTTAGGGTTGGGGTTTATGGCATATGGTTTGCAGTATGGCAGTATGTTTGGGTCTAAGGTTTTGGGGTTCAGGCAGTTGGGGGTTTTAGGGCTGGTTTAACAAGGGTTTTCGGGGTTTAGAGAGTTCAGGCTTGTTGAGTCTAGGGGTTTCGGGGTTTAAGGGTATTATTGACTTTATTTTGGGGTTTTGAGGTTCTAGGAGTTCAGAGGTCTTGGGGTTTGTGGTTTAGGGTCGGGACAGGCAGCGAGTCTTAAGCAATAGATGCGGACGCGGCACCCAAGCCACGTTGCAAGTCGGTAGGGACACGTGTGCGGGTCGGAATTCTTCCTTCGTTTTTCAAGTATATCCCTCAACCCTATCCCAAGCACCAACAAGTACCTCAAAGTACCAAGAACCTGCATTCTAACCCTAAAACTTAACCAGCTGCCTGGAAACGATCCAATTTACCTGGCTTTTCTTTTGGGTCCGAGGTATTTTGGGTTTGGGGTTTACAGGGTTTGGAGTTTAGGGTTTCGGGTTTTTGGGTTTAAGGTTTATGGTTGTTGGGCTTAAAGTTTCGCAGTTCGATGATGTTGGGGTTTATGGATTGGGCCTTTTTGGGGGTTTCGGGTTTTGGTTTAGTGGGTGGGAGGGCGGGGGGGCGGGTGGGGGGGGTGTTCCGCACCGAGGGTGGGGTTGTGAGACTCTAAGCCAACCATTCTCCTCGCCCATGCTCCTTGCCTGCTCTCCTGCCCTGTTTCTCGCATCCCTATGAGACTCCCGCGAAATGTTCCGCCGAGTATTTCTGGGGTGCCCAATCTCAAAGAATCCTGCAGAGAGTTGCAAAAGCAGCATGGCTCCCACATCGCGTAGCCGTAGGGTGGGGCTGATCGAAGGGAAGAATTAGGTTTTTGAGTTCAAGGGCTTTGGGCTATTCAAGGGTTGTGGGGCTCATGGCTTCGATTTCTTAGAGTCTAAGGTTTAGGGTTGAGACTTTCATGTGCTTCCTTTACCTGCAGCATTGCGGTTGCAGGTTATGCGCAGGAGTAGTCGGTTGTTGCCATTCCCAGATGCCGTTACATGGGCCCATCTTCACCGAAGGACAAGTTTTGCAAATCTAGTCGCGCCTCATCCCAGTGCTCTAGAGAAAATCTGTGCTGCGACCGCACTATGCGTGATCGTGAGAGGTACGTGTCAGGTGGTCCTCTCAATCAGCGGCCTGCTCAGAAGCTGCACAAAGGGAGAATTCCGTGCGGTCAATGGTAGCTGCAACCATGCGGCACATTTGTACTCAACTTGCCTCGTAGAGATGTTAATACCATCGCAGATGACATTAAGGAGACGATCTCTTCGGCGGCGCACACTTCAACTTCTGTGTTGGTTCGCCTCATGGAAGGTCTCCGTCTCATGCTGGAGAGAGGTGTCACATGTCAGGTAGTTACCTCTCGAATGCCTAGGTATGGCTTGAAAAACGCCTTGCCGCCTATGGTGTCCTCCTTACCTCCACAAATTCACGGCTTGGTTCGAATGTCCAACTTCCATGTTAGGCGCGTACTTCTGGTACTGGGAGCTCCATAGCTTCGAGCCTCCTGAGCGCCGCAGCGCTCGAAGGAGGCATTTGATGGAGCAAGCGAGGCTCTCAGCGTTCAGGTGCAGGTCTGCAAGAATCTCCAGCGTTGCAAAACTTAAGGCCATGGTGGAGCAGGCAGAAGAGGAAGAGCGTGCTCGGCAACAGGCAGCTGAACCCCAGCAAGTGCGGAAGTTGCAAAAACCTGAGCAGGACCGGGGGTTTTCTGTGTTTTCGTACCTTGGGCACTACCGGTGGTTCGGAAAATTGCCCCAGGATTCTCGAAACGTGGAGCCCCAGCACCCGAAGCCGGAGAACCCGGAGAACCTGCAGAACCCCGGGAACCCGGAGTCCGAGGAATCGAAGCTCGAAGTCAGCGAAGTCAAGGAGGAGCCCAAAGAAGAGGCCCAAAACGAGGCGCCAATTTCCCGTGGTGGTGTATCGACAGCTTGGGATGTCTGAAAAGCCTTGTCGTGGGGCGCAAGCATGGAGGCCGAGCTGACTCCCTTGCAGCAGGAGACTGAAGGGCCCGCGCCTCCGCTTCCGCCACAAAAAGCCCACTTTCCCCCGTTGGCAGGAGCACCTCAAGAACCTGGAGAAGCTTCTGGCGGAGATGCGGCGTCCTTGTCTGTGGCGCTCCGGAGCAGCGCTCCGGGAGCTGTGACTTGCGCTCACCAAGATCCTTTCCATGCCCAGGCAGGCCTTGCAGGGCATGACTCCAACTCCAGCTGCGTGAGGGACCGTTGCGTAGCCCAGCTGCGCAGCGGCCCGGCGGCCTTGCGCTTGAGACTCGAGCTCCTTGGCTCTTGTGCAGCCTACTTCGTCTACAGTGTACCTATGTGTACTTCACCTTGGAGATGAGAAAAAACTCTCTCGTAGCCAAAGAACCTTCTAGCCGAGCGTGTGGCACAGTCCCAGAAAATGACCTGGCTTTGTCTGGTGATGTCTGGCGACGACCGCCAAGAGTTGCAGTATATTGCAGTATTGCAGCGGTCCGTGCCCCCGCAAGACCCTGCGAGTCCTGGAAGTTGCATGAGCCCATGCTTTGCCCCGTGCGCTTGACTTTTTGGTCTCAGAAGTTGGGCTTGGGTAGCAAACGTCCTGGCCATGGCCGAGGCCGGGCCCATGTCGAAACGAGAGATGAACATATAAATTTCCACGACGCAAGGAAGAGGCATCAGTGGAAGACTGGAGAGGGGCTGTTGCAGAGCTCAAGCAGGCATGGGCTCGCACATTTCAGCTCACGAGATCCCATGCCAGGCACCTTGCTCCTAAGCTTGATTGCCACAGCTGTGGCAGGTCGACCAGACCATCGAGGAGCTCCGCGAGGCCGGGCCCTGCATAACGATGAGGCCATGATTGAGAGGCCAGCGCCTTTTTGGCATTGCGGTTGCAGCTCCTTGACAATGCCCGGACGGCACAAGTTCAGGCACGTGCACGCCGTGAATGCACCCATGCGCACCACATACACAAACACGTAAAACGCAAACCTACAGACATATCAACACACAGACACGCAGACACAGACAACGACGCACGCAGTCACACATGAACACGCATAAACACACACACACACACACATACAGCAACAGCCGTAGACGTAGACGCAATGGGGCACAAGCACACGCGCACACGCGCGCACACACACACACACACACACACACGCACGCACGCACGCACGCACGCACGCACGCATGCACACGCACACCCACCCACCCACCCACCCACCCACCCACCCACCCACCCCAAACC